GTTGTTGTTGTTGTTTGCCGTCGAGTCGGCCCCGACTCATAGCGACCCCTCCTTGGGTTTCCGAGGCAGTATCACTACGGAAGTAGGATTGTCCAACCTTCCTTCCGAGGAGTGGCTGGTAGGTTTGAACCGCCAGCCTTCTGGTGAGCAGTCAAGTGCCTTAGGTACTATGCTACCAGAGCTCCTTATAGTAGCAATGCTAAATACTCACGGATACAAGGGGTTTGTATTGGCCAGCTGGATAGTGTGTGTTTTCACAGGTTCCACAGCTATTAGCATATCTTGTTCTACAGCCATAGGAAGAACAGAATATCCGCAGTAATCTATATGCTCTCCTAGAAAAAAGAGAAAGCATTTTTTACCACTTGTTAGCACATGCAAAAAAAAAAAAAAAAAATCCCTCAAATCAACATTCAGAAAAATCTTGAGTACAAGTCAGGTTACAACTGAACATAAAAATACTATTATTATGGGCAGAGAGTGATTCTACTTTCTTCTTCCCAGGAATCTCAGTTAGGAATTTCTGCCAAGCATTTTCACAAGTGTGGGTTTTTTTTGTTTTGTTTTGGGTTTTTTTTTTCACCTCCTCACTCATAATGGAAACCCCTGTGTGGTGCAAATGATTAACACTCTCAGCTATTAGCTAAAAGGTTGAAAGTTTGAGTCCATCCAAAGGTACCTCAGGAGAAAGGTCTACTTCTGAAAAACTAGCCATTAAAAACCCCATGGATCAGAGGCAGTACATGATGGTAGCATAGTAAGATGCCTCATAACATCCCTTTTACAACAAAGAGCCAAGAAAACAAGTGAATCTGGTAATAGATGACAACTTTGGAATCCTAAGCATGAAAGGAGAGGTTGAGAATCAGACTGAGTACCAAGTAGAAGGAGAGAATATATAAAACTACAGACATGGATAGGATCTACAGATTGCCAGTGCCCTACCAGATGAACCTGCACATTGTGGTCATATTGAAACGAAGCAAGCAGCATTCCCAGCTGAAGCCCCCATTAGGTAGTGCAGACAAATAAATGACTCTGCAACCATGTCAGAGATTCCCACCCTATGAAAGTTGAGTGCACTCACCTCACCTACCACATCCCCACAGCCCACCCAGGCCAGCGATCCATAGACCTGAGGTACCCTCCCACCCTTCTCAGCCATCCTCCCAACATACACAATCACGATTCAATGACATTCACCACTGCCCTGCCCCCACAGCCAGTGGTCCACAGACTGCCACTCAACCCTTCATTCAACCACTCATGTCAAGGATCTGCAGATCAGCAGTACAAACCTCTCCTTCCAGCCACCGCTGCCAGGTTCCCACAGAATGGTGATGCTCATTTCACCTAGCCACTGGCACTGGGACTCATGGAACTCTGGTGTCCCCTCTCCCAGCCACTCAACTTCACCAGGGGCCATGATCTGGCAATGACCACTTCTCTGCCTAGTAACCAGCTCCAGGAGCTTGTGGATGGACAACATCCCCTCTGACACCTACCAACCTGTGCTGGGATCCCACAGTCCAGCAGTACCCATTCCTCCACCTGTCCACATACATTGGGGGCCTGAGGACTGGTGGCGCCAAGTCCTAAGCCCAGACACCTGCACTGGGAACCAAGGATTGGAGGTATCTACTTCTGTAACTGGCCACTGGTGCTAGGAGCCTGAGGATCAGTGAGACATCCTCTCTGCCCAGCCAACTAAACCAGGGGCCTAAGGACCAGCAGTCCCTGCCCCCACACCCAGGCACCTGCACTGGAGGCCCATGCACTTGTAGCACCTGCTATGCTGCCCAGCCATTGGCACTAGGAACCTATGAACCAGAGGCACCCACTCCTACAACCAGCCATCTTTTCCAGGAGTCCACAGACTAGCAGCAGCTCCTACTCCCTCCAGCCACAACCACTGGGGACTCAAGAACAAATAACACATCCTCCCATGCATTGTGTGCTAGTAGACAGGGGCACAACCTACTAGTAGGCACTGGGGCACTAATGACATCACCCCTGCCTTGCCCTCTGTACCACCACCACTGCAAGTGGAAGTTTGTGCCCACTTGGACCACCCCCGCACAGTCCTGCTGTCAGGGACTGTTGTTGAGTTTCAGTAACATCCACCTTATGACTGATGACTCAGGCACCCTTACTACAAACACCTAGCAACTGACAGTGGACACACATAACACCCAACCCAGAGGCTAAGGAGAATACTCCCTGTACCCATATCACTTCAACAGCAATGCCAGATACATCTTCACCTGAACCTCAAGACCAGTGAACAGTGACCCACATTCATACACCCAGCCACTGCCCCAAACACTCAGAGACATGTGATAAGAGTTCCAGTGCAGCCAGACTAGTGACCAGAGTACCATGTACATCCCACACAATGAGATATATGAAAACAAAAGAAAATTAAAAATCAGGATGCAGATGACATTCAATAAATACAATACATTCATGCCTTGTAGACAAGAGAAAATATCAAATAACATAAAGAGAAGCAGGATAAGATGGCTCCAGTAAGTGATCAAAATAAAGAACCAGAAAACCTCCCAGAGGAAGAAATAGTAACAGAACTACCTTATAAGGAATTCAAAAAACTAATATGCAGGATTCTCCAAGAGATTAAGAAACAAATCAAGGAAAACACAGACAAAGTAAAAGAAGAATTCAGGAAAACAAAACAAGAAAATTAAAAGACAATTAGGAACAATACAAAAACAGCAACTACAAATCCAAAAAAGTAACAATAAAATTTGAGCAAAAGATAATTCAATATAAGGACACAAAAGCAGAAATGAATCAACAGAAGACTGGATCAATGAAATAGGGGACAAATCCCTTGATTTCAATATGTTTAATGAAAATCAGGAAAAAAAATAAGAATGAAGAAAGCCTAAGAATTGTGTGGGACACTATCAAGACCCCTTCTGTTGGTACTGGCCACCGTCTATCATTGATAGGTTAGTGCAGAAGAAAGTGGTGGCCCTCACCCAGTTGGTAGGGCTGGAGGATTTGGAAAAGGCAAAAAAAAAAAAAAAAACAGAAAATTGAAGACTTGCTAGTAGAAAATTTCCCTAAATCATGAAGACAAGAAGATATCCATCCAAGAAGCTCAACAAACCCAATACAAGATCAAAACCCCAGCCATCGAGTCAATTCCAACTCATCATGACCCCCATTAGATTTCCAAGGTTGTAAATCTTTACAGAAATAGATTGCCTCATCTTTCTCCCATGGAACAACTAGTGGGTTTGTACCTCCAGTATAATAATACCAGTATATCCACAATACTGCATTATCATTAACACCAAACACCAGGCTACAGATAAACACATAGACATTTGAGAGGATCAGATGGGGGTCAGTGAACAGGATTATACTCCAGACCAAGGATAGATTCAGTTGAGGCTAATCTTGCCCAGATACCAGTGATACAAAATACCCACAATCCTTACAGAAACAACAGAAGACAGACATAGATCAATCCCTCACAGACAGCCAGACACTGTGGGAGAGAGATCCAATGGATCTGCCAAGTCAGGACCATAGTATTGGGGGACACCAGACTCAATTGGCACAATAAAATACATAAAAATCTTGTTCCACAACCTACGTTGGTAAGTAATAAATGGGGTCTTAAAAGCTTTCAAGCATCCATCTAAGATGCAACCAATGGTTTCCTATCATCCAAAATGAAGAAGATTGGGGAAAAAAAAAAAAAAAAAGACATTTTGGAAGCAATCAGCCCTAGGACCTCGAGACCAAAACAACTAGATGGTGCCCGGTTACCAATGCCAACCACTCGGAAAAGGATCAAAACTGGAGATCCTGGACAGAGTGGGTTGGGAAAATGAGAAACAAAATCCAAAAACACAGTAATGGCCAGAATTACTGGTCAGATAGACTCTGGTGAGCCCCCCAATACTATGGCCCTGACACTTTGGGCCTGAAATAAAACTCACTCCCAGGGCCTGGCTCTCAGCCTAATAGTAAATAAGACATACACACAGACCACTCAACCCAGGATGACGCACCCACATACTCTATGGAAATGTATCCCTTGGAACAATCAACCACGGAGCACCAGAGGGGCAACATTCGCACAGAGGAAATGCAGGACACACGGGAGTGCATAACTACGGGGCATGGGGTGGGGGTTACTGGAAAGGGAGGGAAGGAGACTGGGTTAGAGTTGGGCATGGTAAATGGGGACTGAAACCAAATGTGCACAGAATGTTGAATGTAAAACAAACTCTGAAAACTCTCAAATATGATGATGAAATTAGGACATTTCCAGATAAAGAGAAATTAAACAGAGGGAGCACAGCCTCACAATAAATGTTAACAAAGGGACTTCCAGCAAGTTGGTGGAATAGGCAGACAAGCTACACAGACTCTCTGCAACAAAGAAATGAGAAACTAATTAAAACAGATACAGAAGATAATCCTGGAACTCTGACCTTTGAAAGGAAAGGACAAAGAAATGGATTGTATACCAACTAGTAGAAGAACTTGAATGAAAACAGTAAATAAGAAGACAAACAGAGCTGCAGATTGTTGGCTGCTCTGACTGGCACAACCAATTTGAATATTTCCAAGTGGCATTCCAATCCAAGCAGCAACCTAAGAAACAGCTCTGCTTGCTGAGGACTCCACAGGCAACCATGCTGGTGGCTGACAACTAGAAAGGAAAACCGTGAATAAGGAGACAAACAGAGATGTGGACTGTTGGCTGTCCTAAGGGTGAGGCCAATTTGACTATTTGCAAGTGGTGTTCTGATCCAGGCAGCAACCCAGGAATAGGCTCTGCTTGATGAGGACAGCACGGGCAACTGCACTGGAGGCTGATGACTACAAAGGTGCAATATTCCCCTTGTTACTCTTGTATCCCATACCCTCTTGGTGAACAGAGGTGTGGCCATTCCCCACATCTCCTCATCTTCTGGACCTGTAGGAATTCCTTCCTTCCAGGTCTGGGCACCCTGGTGCCGTGCCTCACCCCCAGTTTTCTTTTTGTTTGCTTGTTTTAAAATTATTCTCTTTTTTCTCCCTGCTTTCTTCCTTTCTTATTTATTTTTTCCCCCTTTCCTTTCCTTGGTCTCTTTCTTTCATTCATTCTTTAGTTTTTCCTCATTCCCTTCTTTTTTCTTTCTTTTCCTCTTTTGTTTTTTCTATCCCTTGTTTTTATTTTTCCATTTTTCTAATTTTTCTTTGTTCTTTTTCTCTTGCTCTTTTTTGTTATTCTCCCCTCCCCAGATATCTTGTGGGTATTTTTTTTTTCTCTTTTTCTTTTTTTTTCTCTTGTCATTTACTTACATTTTTA